CTGTCAGGCTTTTTTCTCATCTTAAAGAGAATAAATAAAAATACTTTTTTATGTTTTGTTAAAAAAAACATGTTTAATAAGATTAATTCATTCAAACTAGGAAGGAGTGAAGAACATTTCTAGATTTTTGTTGTTGTAGTTTCACAAACATTCCAGTAGATAGCAGCAGCATGTAGGCAGAGTGACTGAGAGCAATAAGTTATTTTTGTGTCTAAACAACTCAAATTTTATAAATGTTTTCACAAAGCATATTTTTTTGATTCTTCACATTTCAGGCTATAAACCTTTGTAATTTTATCTAAAATATAAATTAAGTGTTGTTATTTTTACTGTGCTAAATAAGCTTTAGGGACACACAAGTATTATAGATTTAATTGGAATGAATTAGTTAGATTGTTGTGATTGAAACTGTTATGATGTCTCTAGAAAACTAAGGAAGAACACAGAGGAAGTAGATGGTTAAGAAGGAAGTTTATTGTCATTCAGAAAAAAGATGATGAATGGTAGCTATTGGTGATGTTGGACTGAGTGATGAGCAAACAGACCGAGAGGCTGGAGAATAAATGATGGATGGTAAAAGCAAAAGAACAGGGAGAAACTTTAACATGACTTATGACTTAAAGACTGAGTTAGAAAGTTTGTTTTTCCGCTGACTTGACTTCCAAGTGGTAGAAAGTAACAAGATCAGTGACGATCTACTTCAGTGTTGAGATGATTATGTGAGTCTGTGTCGTGTGACCATGGCACACATGCAGGCCCACAAGGGTGTTTTCAAGGATTCCATAAAAATTGTTATTGTTTCCATCATTAAAATTAAATTTCAGCTTTATGAAGATCACACTGAAAATTTACAGAGATGAGAATGAAATGAAACTTTCTGTTTGCACGAAGAAGGTTTTGCTTGTTGAACAGAGAAAAAAGTGTTGGCCTTTTTCGCAGCAGACACATGAGTGTAGGGAAAGTTGGGGTGTTTGTTCATTAACAGTTTTACCAGGCAGTTAGAACGTACTGCGGCAGAAGTGGAATGCAGCCACTTATGGTGCATTCACCATTTGTAGTTTAATGATTTGGGGTTGCTTAGCCATTTTTGGGTCTTCTAAACTTGCTGTCTGCAACAAATTCCAAACTTTACCATACATCTCCAAAAGAAACCAATGGAAGATTGTATTTATGAGAAATTGACTTTAAAATATCTTCTGTTTTTTTAGAAGTCTGATGAAAGGGATGTTTTGTACAGACTGAGCTAAAATCTTATGGAAGGACATAAAGAGAGCAGCTGATGTAAGAAAATTTGCAAACAGCCTTGAGCTGAAGTGTTATTTATTTATTTATTTATTTGTTTGTTTATTTTTATATAAAGAAATGAATTAATTGTTCTCCAGCCTCATGACTGCAGTTATTCATGCAGAGGGGAAACACACTGAAGGTTACATAACAGTCAAATAAAAGTAAAGCAGCAAAAACATGATTTCTTCACATTTATTTTAAAACATGGTTGGAAAATATTCTATAAATTTCACTCAGTCTGAACAGGACCTGACAGAAATGTCTCCTTTCTGATTTTTCTCTTGTTTATTGAACCTCTGTGCTGCATGTCAGGCTGCTGTTGTACCCGTGTGACCCCAGCATGTCCCCAGGGACGGCCACATTTCCATACAGATAGACAGAGAACCAGGCTGCACCTGCGCCACTAACAAACCTTGTTGGACCTTAGTTAGACATAAATAAATTCTGATGCTTTTTGGTTTCTAAATCTCCCAGGAGAAAACAAGAGAGGAGACATGAGGAGGAATTTTAAAAGAGAATGATGTTGATGTCTCTTGTTCCTTCTGTGCAATCATTGATTGTGTCTTCAGTATCAGTTAACTAGGATAAAAGTCCAACACTTCACAGTTTCTTCATTTTCTGAGTTGCTTTGTCTGCTAATATAAGAAGATAGAAGGCTGGAGTCTTTAAAAGCTGATTTGGGGTTTGTTTTATGCATATTCCCAGTGCAAAATGATCCTTTTCTTGGACTTATGGAGAACTCCAAATTTTCAAAATCCATCAATCCATTTTCATCCATTTATCCGGTGTCAGGTCGTAGGGACAGTGACCTAAGCAGAGAGGCCCAGACTTCCCTCTCCCCAGCCACTTGGACCTGCTCCTCCGGGGCAATACTAAGGGGCGTTCCCTGGCCAGCTGAGAAACATAGTCCCTCCAGCATGTCCTGGATCTTCCTTTAGGTCCCTGTCTGGTTGGACGTGCCTAGAAAACCTCACTAGGGAGGCGTCCAGGAGGCATCCATATGCTCAAGCCACCTTAACTGTCTTCTCTCAATGTTGAGGAGCAGTGGATCTACTCCAAATCAAATCAAATCAAATCAACTTTATTTATATAGCACTTTTCATACAAAAAATGCAACTCAAAGTGCTTTACAGATTAAAATGGCCCCATAGATCCCACATTCCCATCCCAGCCCCCCTCCCCAAGTATAAAACAATTAAAAATTACAGTTCCCCTCCCGCACCCAACTTCCAAAGTGGACATACAATCACCCGCGCACTCGTCCATGCACACACACACGCACACACTCGTGAACATCAGAGGAAACAATAGGCTGAGTTCAGATGGGTCAGGTAATGAACGACACATCATCAGCGGAGCCATCTGCCCTGGCAGCAACAGATCCACGGCAGCAGCCAAGACACCAGCCCATGCCCCTCACCCTATCTGGGAGAGCCTAGCCACCCTGCGGAGAAAACTCATTTCAGCCGCTTGCATCTGCGATCTCATTCTTCAGTCACTACCCAAAGCTTGTGACCATCGCCTTCCAGCTCAGCTTTCTCTTCACCATGACAGATCAGTACAACGCCCGCATCACTGCAGATGCAGCACCAATCCGCCCATTGATCTCATGCTCCATCTTTCCCTCACTCATGAACAAGACCTCGAGATACTTAAACTCCTCCACTTGAGGCAGGACCTCATCCCTGACCTGGAGAAGGTATTTTTCCCTTTTCCGATTCAGGAACATGGTCTTGGATTTAGAGGAGCTGATTCTCATCTCGGCTGCTTCACATCTGCTCATTGACTCATAAATGAAACAAAACATGTCTACTTGATACATTTTAAGTAATTTATTTTGGTAGAATGGCACAAAAAACAACTAACATTCATTGTTCTTTCAATCCTTTTCAAGGGTTTCATCTCGAGGGCGAAAATGAAGAAAAACTGACAAATCAAATTAAATGAGAATGATCCTGCAGAGTAAATGTGGATTTTTTTAGGCTCAATAAGCTGATAACATATTGTAAATGTATTTCCAGCAGCCGCATTTCAATCCCCTGATGTCTTTATTAAAACAAACACATTCAGCTTATAGTCAAACTCTGTGTCTTAATATTATTTGCATGACTGAGCTCCGTGAGCGGAACAGTAAAATTCTTGTCCAGATAAGATTAATCTTTAGCAGAAACTTAAACATAATATAATTAACTTCTTAATGAATAACCAGACGTCCCTGGGAGGTCGGTGCGACTGCTGGTTCATACTGTTGTTATGGAGATGCCTGTGGTGTTTTTAATGTATCCCCGTGTCTCTTGTAGGTCAGAATGAGTGGGGGAGTCAATGTGAAGTCAGCCCCCCTTGGATCTTCCTCCTCAGGAATTCCTGTCCCCCTCAGCCTGCTGCCCAGTTCTCCAAAAGCAGCTCCCCGCCTCTGGGCCCATGACCACCCCAGACCCTCTACACGAACCCTTAAACACACACCCACACACACACCCACTCATTCTCCTTTACTTCATCCACGGAGCATTCCTGGGCCTTCCTCTAGGGAAAACCTGAGAGATGCTGCACAAAGAAATCAGCTCTTCCAGCGAACAGGAGCGGGAAGAGTCCCTCAGGTATCACGTTCTGAGTACAGCAGCCCGCTGACCCGCCGCCGAGAACCCCCACCGCCACATTCTAAGGACACACTGGACCTTGGAAAACCTTCTGCATCTCACATTCACTCACAATTTGATGGAAATTGTAACAGAAACACCATCGCTAATAACAACCAAGCATGGGGAGCTAGCAATCTGCGTCCAAATCTCCATTTCAGGAGGGAAGGGGACTCCAACAACACAGTCCATGAAGTGAGTCAAGTCACCCCAACCAGAGTTTCTCCTCCAGAAAACCTTCTACTCGCAACCAGTATGGTGAACAATGGAAACGTTTGCCCCAGTGCTGCTCCACTGGGGCGAAAACACAATATCAAAGGTCGCAGTGGCTCCACCAGCCAATCAGATGAGGAGATGGGGACTCCTGAGGACAGCAGTACAGTCTCTTCTCCTGATCCTCTCAATAAATTCACCATGCCTGCTTTACCTACAGCTGATGCACAGAATCCCATACCCAGAGTCAACATGGCTACTGTGGCTCCCTTCAGCTACAGGTAACTGAAATATTTATTCAGTGACTCCATTTTCAGACTTCTTTAGTGTCTTTTGTCTTATTATATCTTCACATTTGCAAAATTTTTAGTTCCTCCCTGATATTTCAAACCAGAATCAGTCATTATGGCCAAATGGTTGATGGGTGAAGTGTCCTCATGATGTTTCTGGGATGATCTGACATAGTTTTTTTTAAATAGTTTAAATTGGATTTTAAGTTACAATTAAAATCTAAAAAAGAGGCTGATTTACATGTCCCTGTGCATTTTATTTTGTTTTAGTAGAAATAAACCCAAAGCACAAAGAATCAGTCAGAACAGAAAGTTCTTTGCAGAGTGAAAAAAATATGTTAATAAGTTAATATTCCACCAGTGTGTTTTCTTTCTTTTGGAAATCGGTGCCCTCTATCAAACTGAAAGTTGACTGAAAGCAACAGCATTGGAGGTTTAGTGTTCAATAACACACATATGTGCACTGGTTGTGTATTTGGCAGGCTGCAGATACAAGAGAGTGATTTTTCCATTGATGAACTGAGTGACTGCTCATCTGGATCCATAGAAGTCTGCTGTGATGACCTGACAACAGGTTGGACATTTTAGTGCTTTTAGACACGTGTTTTAGCTGGATTAAATGTGTAATTCGTAGCTCAGTCTGCTCCGTTGGTGACACCAGGTGGCCGTGAGCTCATGTGACAGGTACAGATGCAGCCCACATTCTTGCAGGATGACACATTCATTGTGAGAAGGTCAAAGATGGCGTCAGACTGTACGTGCAGTCAGCTTAACATGAATGGACTCAGTGGGAAAAAAGCACAACCTTTCTTTGTCCTGAAATGTCAATCATGCTGCGGCCCATTAGGTTCAGGAGTCTAATGTTAGGTTGTCTCATCTTGACCGTGTGTGTGTGAGGGGAAAAAAGTGAGTTGTGTAAAGACGAGTGATGATGGCAGCAGTGATGTGGGTCAGTACTGGGATGAGTGGACTCTTCTCAGCTCACTCTCTGGCTGTGTTACACGTACAATATCAGCTTCATCTTACAACTGTGGAGGATTTGAACATTTCCTGTTCTCATTCTCTGCCTCATGCATTTCCTCTTTTGACCTAAAAACTCCCCTCCTTGTCCTGCCTCAGTGGCTTCAGCATGCGTCCACAGCTACAGCCCTGCACTCTGAGCTCAGGCATGTGGACGTGTTTCTGTGATAATGATTTATGAGAAACTCAGTGAGTCAATGTTGCTGATGTAGTTGGATTGTAGAAGAAAAACAGCATCACGCAAAAGAAAAAAAGAAGACTTCAGTGTGATTCATTTAAAATACAGTGTCATTTTTATTTTTGGCAAATAATTTATTGTTGGAACTTTAGGTTTTGTCGTGGTTGAGGGTTTCCTGTTTTGCAAGTGGCTAAATAAAGAAAGCTGTTTGAAATAAGACATTTAACGGTGTTTCGTGGCGTTAGCCAGCTGGTCCTGAAAATAATCAGTGGGAACTTGTGTTGGTGTTGGTGAAGGTATTGGTGGTGCTGGTGCACCAGCCTTGGACTTTAAGTGCCCCTGGATGTCTTTCTGCCATCATTGTGGCTTTGTAATTGGTCCCTAGCAGGCGTTCGACACAGAACTGAAGTGTTGGGCTCCTCTGAAGCAGCGTTTATTTGGAGGGTGGGCTGACATCATAATCACTGTAATTTAGGGAGAGCAGGAAGGGAGGGAAATTAGGTGGAAGGCACAGTTTGTAGGGAAGTAGACCAAGAAAGAGAGAGGAAAGTGAGTCGACAAATTTTTATTTTATACACAGAGGACAGATGAAAATCTGCAAATATAAACAAGATGAAAAATACTAAATGTCGCGTCCATCTGTAGGATTCAAATGAACCCTTAGCTCAGATACGATCCAGCTTTATAATGGCTACCCTGGTGGATTTTTAAAAGGGTTTCTTTCCTTTAAACCGTATGTTTCCTGAATGTACGTCCATTCAGTCAGCAGTAACACAATCAGCTCTAAGTGAGACTTTAATGAAGACCTGAACATTTAATGGGATTGTGGCACCATGTGGTCTTTCAATTAGATCCAAGACCTCCTGACCCTGCCTCTCTGGAGAAGGTGATCTCTGCATACATTTGAATTGATGTGTGTGTGTGTGTGTGTGTGTGTGTGTGTGTGTGTGTGTGTGTGTGCGTGCGTGCGTGCGTGCGTGTGTGTGTGTGTGTGTGTGTGTGTGTGTGTGTGTGTGTGTGCTGAAGTACATATATGTGACAGAACACAGATGGCGTTTTTGCTGGATGGATGCAATGGGGACTCTGTATCATTTTTCATCTCAAAGAAATAATATGGTCTGAAATTCCCTCCAGACAAGCTAAAGATTCTGTCAGCTTGCTCTGGGTTTCCTTCACACACACACACACACACACACACACACACACACACACACACACACACACACACACACACACACACACACACACACACACACACACACACACACACACACACACACACACACAGATAAATACAGATGCCCAGAGACAGAGTGAAGGTCAGTGTTTGTTCTGAATATTTTCTCAGGAAATAAATAAATGAAACACACGCACACACAACAATCCTCACAATCGTGCATGTTTTTTTAAATTATTGCTCTGTTGAAGAGCTCAACAGAATCGTAAACTTACATTTTTTTCAGGAATATGAAACACATTTTATTTAAAACTCCCAAATTTACAGTAAAGCTGTGGTTGCCAGAATGTTTCTATGAAAACCATCATTTTAACATGAAGAGTTGAGAACTGACTATGTTTACTGTTTATTAGGGTTAGGGTGTGTATTGGCAAGATTTTATCACTGTACAGGGGAGACAATATGATATTTTATGGGTCTAATAGTCAGACTGTAGTTGTGATTTTTAGGGCTGAATTTATTGGAAAACTCAGGCCAGAAGTTTTTAAGACACATCCAGTGTTATTGTGAGATAACCCTAACCCTGAATGACGAGGGTAAAAACTGCTGCCAACTAGCAGTTGAAGTTTGAATTGCACCAAACAACTAAAATACAATACATGTTTGCATCTAAATTCTCACAGTGCAAACCCTAAAGCCCAATCTATACTTCTCCTTCTGTGTCAGGACGGTCCCAGGCAACGCCATTATGCGTTGACGCAAGAGCCCTCTGACGGGCTTGTGGAGGAAGACGGAGACCGCAAGCTTGTGATTAGCCAGGATGCTGCTTCCTGTTTTCAATTGTCAACAGCACCATCTTTGCTGCTTTAAAAAAAATAGAGATATTTAGCAGCAGACACAGAACAGATTGAAGAAAGCATTGTGGAAAAAGTCTGAAAATATTGACGTTTATTCACCTGTGACTGATAAAGTACAAAGATATGCAATAAGCGTTTTATTCGTGGACGGAAAAGACGAGAAATGTGGGTTTAGACGTGTCGATTGCATGAAGAGGTGGAAGGGAAAGAGGGACAGATTTGTCTGTGTTAAAAAGTTTCTGAAATACATTAAAACAATGTAAATGCAATAGTAAATACACTATCATGGACTGGATACATGACTGTAATGGTGGCAGGATACCTCCTAATAGCGCTATGCCCTCTGTTGTCCTGGGGGGAATTGCTTTGCAACAATCTCCAGCTGACGGAGAAGTATGAAAGCAAAACGTCTCTGACAATATGTGTGCATCTCTCCCTTGCGAAGCTGATGGAGAAGCATAAATTAAGCTTAAACCTAACCCTAACCCCAACCCTAAGCATAACCTGTAGATTCAGATTCGTCGTCGTCGTCATCTTCCTCCGCTTATCCGGGTCCGGGTCACGGGGGCAGCATCCCAACTAGGGAGCTCCAGACCGTCCTCTCCCTGGCCACCTCCACCAGCTCCTCCAGCAGGACCCCAATGCGTTTCCGGACCAGATTGGAGATGTAACCTCTCCAACATGTCCTGGGTAGACCCGGGGGCCACCTGCCGGCAGGACATGCCCAAAACCCCTCCCCAGGGAGGCGTCCAGGAGGCATCCTGACCAGATGCCCAAACCACCTCAACTGACTCCTTTCAATCCTGAGGAGCAGCGGTTCTACTCCGAGTCCCTCCCGAATGTCCAAGCTCCTCACCCTATCTCTAAGCCTGAGCCCGGCTACCCTACGGAGGAGACTCATTTCGGCCGCTTGTATCCGCGATCTCGTTCTTTCGGTCATTACCCAAAGCTCATGACCATAGGTGAGGATTGGGACGTAGATTGACCAGTAAATCGAGAGCCTGGCTTTCTGACTCAGCTCCCTCTTCACCACGACAGATCGGCTCAGCGTCCGCATCACTGCAGACGCCGAACCAATCCGCCTGTCAATCTCCCGATCCCTCCTACCCTCACTCGTGAACAAGACCCCAAGATACTTAAACTCCTCCACTTGAGGTAGGACCTCTCTCCCGAGCCGGAGTTGGCAAGCCACCCTTTTCCGGTCGAGAACCATGGTCTCAGATTTGGAGGTGCTGATCCTCATCCCAGCCGCTTCACACTCGGCTGCGAACCTAACCAGCAAGAGCTGAAGGTCATAGCTGGATGAAGCTAGGAGGACCACATCATCCGCAAAAAGCAGAGACGAGATTCTCCTGCCACCAAACTCGACACACTCCACACCACGGCTGCGCCTAGAAATTCTGTCCATAAAGGTAATGAACAGAAGCGGTGACAAAGGGTAGCCCTGGCGGAGTCCAACCCTCACCGGGAACAGGTCCGACTTACTACCGGCTATGCGGACAAAACTCACGCTCCTCTGGTAAAGGGACTGAATGGCCCTTAACAGAAAGCCACCCACCCCATACTCCTGGAGCCCCTGGGGACACGGTCATAAGCCTTCTCTAAATCCACAAAACACATGTGGATTGGTTGGGCAAACTCCTATGCCCCCTCCATCACCCTTGCAAGGGTATAGAGCTGGTCCACAGTTCCACAGCCAGGACGAAAGCCACATTGCTCCTCCTCAATCTGAGATTAAACTATTGATCGGACCCTCCTCTCCAGTACCTTGGAGTAGACCTTTCCAGGGAGGCTGAGGAGTGTGATCCCCCTATAGTTGGAACACACCCTCAGGTCACCCTTCTTAAAGATGGGGACCACCACCCCGGTCTGCCACTCCACAGGAACAGCCCCAATGACCATGCAATGTTGCAGAGACGTGTCAACCACGATAGCCCTACAACACCCATAGCCTTGAGATAACCAGGACCAATTTCATCCGCCCCCAGTGCTCTGCAGCTGTCTAGTTGTTTGACTACCTCAGCAACTTCTGCCCCCAAGATTGGACATTCCATCCCCAGGTCTCCCGGCTCTGGTTCCTCCTTGGAATGCGTGTAGGTGAGATTGAGGAGCTCCTCAAAGTATTCCTTCCACCGTCCGACTATAGCCCCAGTTGATGTCAGCAGCTCCCCATCCCCACTGTAAACAGTGTGAGTGAGTTGCTGCCTCCCTCTCCTGAGGTGCCGGACAGTTTGCCAGAACCTCTTTGGAGCCGATCAATAGTCTTTCTCCATGGCCTCACCAAACTCCTCCCACGCCTGAGATTTTGCCTCGGCAACTGTCACTGCTGCACCCCGCTTGGC